CATTACCATGCAAACAGAAATAGTCCATGAGTCCAAGTGAGCAGTCAAATAGCGTAACATAAAATATTAAATTCCCCAAGGTTTCTAGCGAGTACAATTTATATTCCACAGAGACAAATCAATCCACAACATAAAATCATCACCGATAAAGTTTGCAGATGACACAAAAATTGGGGCAATGGTAAATTACGAAGAGGGCAGATCACTGATACAGAGCAATATGGATCAATTGGTAAGCTGGGCACAAGCGAGCAATATGCATTTTAATATGGCTAAATGTAAATGTATACACCTAAAACCAAAGAATGTAGGCTGTACTGACAGGATAGGGGGGACTCTATTTTGAGAAGCAGTGATTCTGAAAAAGATTTGAAGGTAGGCCTGGATAATTAATTAAATATGAGCTCCAAGTACGACTCTCTGGCCCAAAGGGCTAATGTGATCCTTGGACGTATAAGCAGAGGAATTTGGAGTAGGAGTAGAGAGGTTATTTTAAGTCTGTATTTGGCACTGGTGAAAGCACAGCTGGACTGTATTAGTCCAGGTCTAGTGTCCACAATTGAAGAAGGATGTTGATAAATTAGAGAGGCTTCAGAGAAGAGCCATGAGAATGATTAAAGGGTTAGAAAATCCATCTTATAGTGTTAGAATCAAGAAGTTCTATCTGTTTATCTTAATAGATTAAAGGACGACTTGATTACAGCCTACAACTACCTATATGGGCAACATGTATTTGATAATGGCCTCCTCAATCTAGCAGAGAAAGGTCTAACATGATCCAGTGCCTGGAAGCTGAAGCAAGACAAATTCAAAGTGGAAATAAGGAGTAAATGTTTAACAGTGAGGGTAATTTACTACTGGAACAATTTACCAAGGGTGAAGTGGATTCTCCATAACTGTGATGCTCCCCAGAGGTGCTCAGGGTTGTGAGGTATCTCGCTACCACCTGCCCTTAGTTGCCAGGAGTCAGCTCCCTGACTCTCCCAGCCAGAGGGCAATACAAGCACTCCCGTCTCAGCCCAAAGGGCTCTGGTGTCCCTCATGCAGGCTAGCAATAGGCACACTCCAACCCCTGAGTCCTCTGAGCATCTCCCTGCAGTGTTCAGCTTCTTATCTACTGGACACGCATAGGATTACAAGATCCACTGTTCTCAAAGGAACAGCCCCGCAGCCAACTAGTTACACCTTAGAACACAGCTCCATTTAACACATGGCACTGAGTTTTGTTTACAGATAAAGCAAGTATCTGTTTATTTAACAAAGGACAGAGATTCAAATGATAGCAAGCAGAAATATTGGAAACAAAAGGTTACATATAAAATAAAATCATAACACACATACTAGTGCCTGAATTCAGCTAAGATGGCTTTTTGTTTAACAAACTACTGCTTACCCCCAAAGTCCTCCTCAGAGTTTTTCAACCAACTCTTCTTTCATGAGCTCAAACCCGCTTGCAGCTTGTCGCCCCTAGATGAAAGATGCTAAGGCTTCTTTCTGCACCCCTAGATATATTAGACAAGTCCTTTGCTATTCACAGCTCCTCCCCTCATCTGTCTTCCTGTTAATATTTCCTTCTGAAGTTCTGGCAATCTCTTCATTAGCATTTGATTCTGTATGCAAATCAACTTCCATTGTAAGAACACAATAGTCAGCTAGATCTTCCACCTTCCCTTTGGTGGAACCTGACCTAAGGCCTGCTACCTCTGGGTGACCTGCCTTTAATTACAAGGTCTTAAGAACATAATTTCATATATATTGTGGCAAATTGCCAGCACTACTTTGATGGGTCTCACACTTTCTCTTCTTGGGGAGGGTTCATTTCTCGCCCCTGAACTGGGGTATTAACTGCCCCACTAGTGTCGTAGAGGAGGGGAGTGGAGACGGAGGGACCTGGGCCCGCCCTCTACTCCGAGTCCCAGCCCAGGGGCCCTAGGGATAGCGGTAAACCACTTGAACTAGCAGTTTCTTCCCCTGGACTACTTCCCTCTCCTGCCCTTCAGCTTGTGGGGTTTCCTGCCCTCCCTCTGCATAAACCAGGTGTCCCTTTACCTAGGGTCTTGGTCTTCTTAGCCCACCGCAGCATTCTCCAAACTCTCCTCTACTTCCCTCCAAACTGCTCTCTGCTTCAACACCAATCCACTGTGCATCAACTCCTCCCCTTGTCTGACTGAAGCAGGGGGGTTTTATCAGGTGACTGGCTTCAGGTACTTTAATTAATCTATAGCAAACTTTCTTCCCTCTACAGGGAATAAGGCTCCCTTCTAACACTCTCCTGCTGCCCTCTGGCCATGCTGTATCACAATATATATAATACATGTATCTCCTTACAGTATTATCTGCACATACATTTTGCACAGCTTGTGATGACCAGTGTGACACAAGGTTTCAGTAGAAACCTTATGTGACACTCTGCTGAAATAAAATGTAAATACCAGATCCAGGGAATCCCTGTAAGCTTTATGCACCCCCAGTACCCTCTGCCAGTTGGCATGAAGAGGTCGTTGCATTACAATTTTAAATCAAGATTGGATCCTCTTCTAAAAGGTATGCTCTAGGAATTATTGGGGGGAGGAATTTCTATGGCCAGTGATCTTGCAGGCTCAACTACATACAGAGGCATGTTCCAATAGTAACAGAAGTTAAGTCAGTTTGTGGCTAACTAGTGCCTATGTACCAAATCTACTGTATGTTTTATTAATGAATGTTGGTAGGCACTTGCTAACTGATAAACCTAGGGTCTTTTCTTAATCCTATATTAGGTTTACTTCGTTAATCTCTCAAAAATCAGGACAAGCTAAAGGGAACACATATGCCTGCTCACTCTGTCCCTTATGACTATGCTTTGTGATACTATATCAGATTTTGAGGTCACAGTATATTTTAGGGGTGAAATCTCAATCCTGTTTGTGTATGTTGGAGGGGTTGTAAAGTGGTTTTGCACCTGCACTGTTCTGAGGACTGGAGAGGCCTCAGCACAATTTAGACAGCCCTAGGAGCCTGGTAAAATTACGGCAGCCTGCCCAACAAGTTGTAGGACTGCCTAGAATTTCTGCAGTGCTGTGGCCCTCTCCCCTGTCCCCAGCACGCCTCTGCTGATCCCAGCCCCACCCCTGGCATGCCCCTGAGGCTGGGGCTCATGGCGGGGTCCTCAGGAGGCAGCCTCTGGCTGTCTTTGTTGTGCCTGCTCTGGGGGAATCATTTCTTCTCCATAGCAGAAGCTTTTAGGACCGCTCTATGCCATTCCCGCCCTTATACATGCTGTAACTGGGCTAGAGCGGAGGTGAGGATCTCACCTCTGGTATTTAAGGTTGTTTTAAAATAGGTGTTTGAGGACGAGTAGGTGAACACATAATTACATTGTAATGCACATTCACAAGGGAGCTGGGGTAAGCTGTGAACTGAAGCTGAACGTATACATTTCCCCACTGCTGAGTGCTTAACCATGCAGCCGGACTGCAACATAACTTCTTATTTTACATTAACATTTAAAGTTATTTTCTTTCATTATTAAAGGGGTATGAAATGGGCTTCCTCCGCTCCTGAAAAACATGCCAGAAAAGAGCTTTGCTCACGAAAGGACCTAACCGTGAAACTGCAAAATCTTGTTTAAAAATAATACAGTATTCTGTGCTACTGATTCCAAATGCTTTCCAATGGGTTTTGTGATTGTGTTTGGGGCACTATAGGGATTTTTACCTCCTCTCAGAGCAGACATTGTGTTTTTGCCTGGGTCTCATACAGTATTAAGCACAAGATTATGGTTAAAAATAATTTCCCCTCATTGTCCTCAGGCACCCACAAGGGGCTGTGGAGAGATCACAGGGCAGCCTGTGTCACCAAGAGGGCTTCCTTCTTGGTGCACCTGGGTGATGCATTCTGGTGCATCCCTTGGAGTGGGTGAAGCTTAATGCTGGGCAAACCCTGCCATTTCCTATGCTTGCTAAGGCAGTTATGAAGAACCAGGACCTGGGCTCCCAGCCGTATTGTGGCTGACACCTCCATAGGTGTGCAAGTGGGAGGAATTAGGCTCTTTGGGTGAGATTTTGTGCTGAGACTCTAAGACATTCAGCTCAAAACTTGCAGCCCCCAACCAGGAGGAAGGGGTGCGTGAAGTGGGATGGGACGAGGTAGCTTTAAGCCATCTTTGTGGTCTCCCAGTTCTTAGCTGTAGCATGGCTGCCTAAGTTATAGCTGCTTGGATGTGTTACAGCTACATCTCTCCCAGGGGTTTCATAGAGTAGCGTAAACTTCCCTCAACAAAGTCTGTGCCAGAAGAACCAGATTCAGGGCTCAATGGTTCTTTTTATCTGCCATAGCAGTAAGAGAGCTGCCATAGCAGTAAGAGAGCCATAGTGGGAGAAGAATCATTCCTTTGGTATCCACCTCCTCTTGCACATTGGCACTGCCCTTAAAATTTAAGATCCAATTTGTCCATCCATCCCTTATTGAGATTTTTAACACTTCTCTTAGAAACGCTGAATTGTTTAAAAAAACCCAGCTCTTTCTTTTCCAATATGGTCTATCCCAGTTTAATATCATATAAAAAATTGATATAGAGATGCTTTGAAACACATAGCAGCAAAACCACCCTCCTTCGTTTTCCTTTGTTTAGTTGGAAGTATATCCTGTGGTTCTCAAAATGATGGAATGATTTTGTCCTATTTAGAGCTAAGCAAACTATTTGCAGCAGAAAATTAACCTGACAAATACAGCTTCTTTTTCCCATTTGTGTTATTGGTGAACACACACAGCTTTTTACAAATGACAGTTCTTTGAAATAATTCAATGTTTCAGGATTTCATGCACTGCTCACATACCATTTATGGCAGCCGTTGCTTTGAGTGTCTTGTTGCTTGCGATTCACCAGTCACTGTGTGTGTGATGGTTCTCCTACAGTGAGCCATGTGGCATTGTTTCTGCTCTGTGACTGAGCCTTTTTCAAATGGGAAGAGAGCTTAAAGAAGTCTCTTGTGGTGCAGATGTTTATTCAAACACATTTGCATGAGTATTTGGGATACTTTAATTCCACAAACATCCTCGGGAACCAAAAGAATCTCGTTTACGTGCTTGGAAAAGATGACCGAAAGGGGTTGAGAATCCCACAGTGTGAATCCTTTTGTTTTAAGGTCAGTTTATTTCACTGTATTCTCCTAGCTGTAGTAATAATCTAGCTGCCAATACTTAGAGGATGTTGCCCAGATGTATCAGCTCTGTGCTTTGATTTGGCAGTTATCCTTGTTCCATATGATGCTTTCGCTTAACTCTGCTCAAAGGGGCTCATCCTGCTCACTACACGCAGCTTGCCATTCTGAGGAGATGTGAATGTGTGATGCTCAGCTTTGCTGGCTTCTGCCCACAGGTTTTGCTCAGCACAGTAAAGGAGTGCCTGGATAACCAGCCACATGATGGCAGAAACCATTATTTACCTTTCCTATAAAGAGGAGAGATTTGTGAGTCTCATTAAGGGTTTGGGGTGATGCTTTGAGAATCAAGGAGTGCCTACAGAGACTGAGCACAACAAGGTATTCTTGTATGCTGTCACCCTCTAGTGATCTCATATACAGAGAATTGGAGGTGTGCCATTATTGCTTGTGAAAGTGGTTTGGCTTGAGCTCACGTGGTAAAAGTTTCTTTTTGGAGCTGAGAAACCAGGATTCACCTCCTGGCTCCCCATGCAAGTGTGTGTGGTTTGTATAATGATTGTCTCTTGTTTTCAGTTCATTAATTTGTTACTCTTGTGTAGTGCCTCAAATCCTCCCAGCTGAAAAAGACTGTTATGTGAAATGAGAAGCCAGTCTCCCAAGAAGATGCTACAAAAGGTAAGTGTGTTTAGCTTCTACATGTTGCACCACTTTATGTTCTGACAATAAACATGTATGTTGGTACACTATATATTGTAATAGGAGAGACTGAAGGTTCACTTATTTGCAAGGGTACTGGACGTTGGATAGGAAGATCTTGACAAGATACTCCTTTGAACTTTAGTTTATCTTCTGCACCCAGTGGCATATAATTGGATGTTTCTATCTACAATGACTATTCGGCCAGGTGAGAGAAGATTTTTCTCCTAAACTATGACACCTGGCTACAACCTTTGATCCATTCATGCGGTCGGTGTGGATCTGCCTCTTGTGCCTTACATTGAGACTGTCAGGGATACTATTTGTTTTCATTCTTCCCCTTCACTTTGAGAGTATTACCCCCTTTGGCCCCAAATCCAAGCCCTCTTGGAGATACGATCATGTCCAGTGCAGTGTGTTCCTGCTGAGCTATTGGGATTGCCCAGTTTGATTACAAACCCGGGAAAAATAAAACTTAAATTCTGGAATAATGAAAATGACCCCATGACACCTTATCCTGGTGAAATACATCGCTACCCTGTATGCTACTTTAAAAAGCTACCTGTGGCCAATTCAAAGTGTATGGAATTTAACCATTCTATTTCCAGTACTTAAAGGGAATTATTTAAAAATCTCTAATCATATACAGTCATCACTGATAATTCTAAACAACTATACAGATGTGGAACAAATAAAGTCAATGTGAATTTCCTACAAATATCCATCATTCCTTTATTAATACAGTCATTACCATATCTTGATAAAGGAACTGCAAGGTGTAGCTTCAGCACTGGCAAAGCTCACCCATTTTTACAGACACATTGAGCTAGAATCTGCACTGTCGGGTATGTGCATTTCCTCTGCCAATCAGTTTTGAGCTGTCATCTGACGGTAATAGTAATGACCAAATTAACAGCTACTTCACACTCCATGATGCAGACTTCAGCAGTGTGTAATGCCAAAGGTTGGATAACTTCTTCGGATTTTGATAGCTGCATCTGCCATAAAGAGCTCTGCTCTGGTCACTTTCCAATGATGCTAGCAATGAAAATTGTGAGCTGCATATTAATGCGAAAGGGGCTCCTGAAGAACTGACCCTTTAGCACGCGAGGATATAAGGAGGAGAAGGGGGGTTGTTTTAAGAAATGTTTTGTGCAGCAGGAGACGTTTGCATTTTCACTTTATTGGATGTATTCTTTTTCATGTATTTTGTGGAGATTTAAAGACGGGGAAACATGATGGATTGACAGCCCCAGAGACTGAAGTTCTCTCTGTCTCTACAGAACATGTACAGCACAGACAGCACCAACACAGGCTTCAGAGTGGTAGTCGTGTTAGTCTGTGTCGCTCTCCAACATGTGCCTATCTAACCTGTAAGGATCCTGTTCTGCTTAGGTTCTTCTACTGTGCCATCTCTATGGTATCTGACTGCCTGTAAGAGTGAGAGGCTAATTCAGCATAGGTACCCATTCAAGGTGTCACTGTCTGAGGGTATGTCCACACTACGAAATTAGGTTGAATTTATAAAAGTAGTTTTTTTAGAAATCATTTTTATATAGTCGATTGTGTGTGTCCCCACACAAAATGCATTCAGTGCATTATCTCGGCAGAGTGCTTCCACAGTACCGAGGCTAGCATAGACTTCCGGAGCATTGCACTGTGGGTAGCTATCCCACAGTTCCCACAGTCTCTGCTGCCCATTGGAATTCTGGATTGAGATTCCAATGCCTAATGGGGCAAAAACATTGTCACGGGTGGTTGTGAGTACATGTCGTCAGGCCCTTCCTCCCTCCATGAAAGCAACGGCAGACAATGGTTTCCCACGTTTTTTCCTGGGTTACCTGTGCAGACGCCATACCATGGCAAGCATGGAGCCTGCTCAGCTCACTCCCACTGTATGTCTCCTGGGTGCTGGCAGACGCGGTACTGCATTGCTACACAGCAGCAGCTCATTGCCTTGTGGCAGCAGATGGTGCAATAGGCCTGATAACCATTGTTATCATGTCCTAGGTGCTCTTGGCCGCCTCGGGCAGGAGCACCTGGGCAGACACGGGCACAAGGACTGAAATAGGAGTGACTCGACCAGGTCATTCTCTTTAGTCCTGCCGGCAGTCCTATTGCACCATCTTCCGGCAAGCAGCCAGGAGATGAGGATGGCTAGCAGTCCTACTGCACATCTGCTGCCAGCCAAAGATGTAAAAGATAGATGGAGTGGATCAAAACAAGAAATAGACCAGATTTGTTTTGTATTCATTTGTTCCCCCCTCTCTCCCTCCCTCCGTGAAATCAATGGCTGACAATCATTTTGGTGAGGTCTGTCAGAGGCACCTTGGAAAGTTTAATGGCGATTCAGTCCTGCCTGAAATACCAGAGGGAGGAATAGCTCAGTGGGTTAAGCATTGGCCTCCTAAACTCAGGATTTTGAGTTCAATCCTTGAGGGGGCCATTCTGTGTAACAGTTGTTTTTGTTTCTCCTTGATGTAAAGCCACCCCCTTTGTTGATTTTAATTCCCTGTAAGCCATGTCGTCAGTCTCTCCACCCTCCATCAGAGCAACGGCAGACAATCGTTCCACACCTTTTTTCTGTGCAGACGCCATACCACGGCAAGCATGGAGCCCACTCAGATCACTTTGGCAATTAGGAGCACATTAAACACCACGCACATTATGCAGCAGTATATGCAGCACCAGAACCTGCCAAAGCGAAACCGGGCGAGTAGGCGACGTCAGTACGGTGACAAGGGAGATGAAGACATGGACACAGACTTCTCTCAAAGTCCCTCACAGGCCTTGGCAATGTGGGCATCATGGTGCTAATGGGGCAGGTTCATGCTGTGGAATGCTGATTCTGGGCCCAGGAAACAAGCACAGACTGGTGGGACCGAATAGTGTTGCAGGTCTGAGACGATTCCCAGTGGCTACGGAACTTTCGCATGCGTAAGGGCACTTTCATGGAACTTTGTGACTTGCTTTCCCCTGCCCTGAAGTGCCAGAATACCAAGATGAGAGCAGCCCTCACAGTTGAGAAGCGAATGGCAATAGCCCTGTGGAAGCTTGCAACGCCAGACAGCTACCGGTCAGTTGGGAATCAATTTGGAGTGGGAAAATCTACTGTGGGGGCTGTTGTGATCCAAGTAGATAACGCAATCAAAGGTCTGTTGATATCAAGGGTAGTGACCCTGGGAAATGTGCAGGTCATAGTGGATAGCTTTGCTGCAATGGGATTCCCTAACTGCGGTGGGGCCATAGACGGAACCCATATCCCTATCTTGGCACCGGAGCACCAAGCCGGCGAGTACATAAACCGCAAGGGGTACTTTTCAATAGTGCTGCAAGCTCTGGTGGATCACAAGGGACGTTTCACCAACATCAACGTGGGATGGCCGGAAAAGGTACATGACGCTTGCATCTTCAGGAACTCTGGTTTGTTTCAAAAGCTGCAGGAAGGGACTTTCTTCCCAGACCAGAAAATAACCATTGGGGATGTTGAAATGCCTATTGTTATCCTTGGGGACCCAGCCTACCCCTTAATGCCATGGCTCATGAAGCCATATACAGGCAGCCTGGACAGTAGTCAGGAGCTGTTCAACTACAGGCTGAGCAAGTGCAGAATGGTGCATTTGGATGTTTAAAAGCGCGCTGGCGCAGTTTTATGGCTCACTTAGACCTCAGCGAAACCAATATTCCCACTGTTATTACTGCTTGCTGTGTGCTCCACAATATCTGTGAGAGTAAGGGGGAGACATTTATGGCGGGGTGGGAGGTTGAGGCAAATCGCCTGGCCACTGGTTACGCACAGCCAGACACCAGGGCGATTAGAACAGCACAGGAGGGCACAGTACGCATCAGAGAAGCTTTGAAAACCAGTTTCATGACTGGCCAGGCTACGGTGTGAAAGTTCTCCTTGATGAACCCCCCCCCCCCTTGGTTCACTCTACTTCCCTGTAAGCTAACCACCCTCCCCTCCCCTCCCCCTTCAATCACCGCTTGCAGAGGCAATAAAGTCATTGTTGTTTCAAATTCACGCATTCTTTCTTAATTCATCACACAAAGAGGGGGATAACTGCCAAGGTAGCCCGTGAGGGGTGGTGGAGGAGGGAAGCACCAGGAGGGGTGGTGGAGGAGGGAAGGACAAGGCCACACAGCACTTTAAAACTTATTGAATGCCAGCCTTCTGTTGCTTGGGCGATCCTCTGGGGTGGAGTGGCTAGGTGGCCGGAGGCCCCGCCACCACATTCTTGGGCGTCTGGGTGTGGAGGCTATGGAACTTGGGGAGGAGGCCGGTTGGTTACACAGGGGCTGTAGCGGCGGTCTGTGCTCCAGCTGCCTTTCCTGCAGCTCAACCGTACGCTGGAGCATATTAGTTTGATCCTCCAGCAGCCTCAGCATTGAATCCTACCTCCTCTCATCACGCTGCCGCCACCTATCATCTTCAGCCCACCACTTACTCTCTTCAGCCCACCACCTCTCCTCACATTCATTTTGTGCTTTCCTGCACTCTAACATATCTGCCTCCATGCATTTTTCTGTGCTCTGTCAGTGTGGGAGGACAGCATGAGTTCAGAGAACATTTCATCGCCAGTGCGTTTTTTTCACCTTCTAATCTTTGCTAGCCTCTGGGAAGGAGAAGATCCTGTGATCATTGAAACACATGCAGCTGGTGGAGAAAAAAAAAAGGGACCGTGGTATTTAAAAAGACACATTTTATAGAACAATGGATACACTCTTTCACGGTAAACCTTGCTGTTAACATTACATACATAGCACATGTGCTTTTGTTACAAGGTCGCATTTTGCCTCCCCCCAGCGCGTGGCTAACCCCTCCCCCTTCACCCCACCGCGTGGCTAACAGTGGGGAACATTTCTATTCAGCCACAGGCAAACAGCCCAGCAGGAACAGGCACCTCTGAATGTCCCCTTAATAAAATTCCCCTATTTCAACTAGGTGACCATGAATGATATCACTCTCCTGAGGATAACACAGAGAGATAAAGAATGGATGTTGTTTGAATGCCAGCAAACATACACTGCAGTGCTTTGTTCTGCAACAATTCCTGACTACGTGCTACTGGCCTGGCGTGATAAAGTGTCCTACCATAGTGGACGGAATAAGGCTGCCCTCCCCAGAAACCTTTTGCAAAGGCTTTGGGAGTACACCCAGGAGAGCTTTATGGAGATGTCCCTGGATGATTTCTGCTCCATCCCCAGACATGTTAACAGACTTTTCCAGTCGCTGTACTGACCGCGAATGCCAGGGCAAATTAATCATTAAACACGCTTGCTTTTAAACCATGTATATTATTTAAAAAGGTACACTCACCAGAGGTCCCTTCTCTGCCTGGCGGGTCTGGGAGGCAGCCTTGGGTGGGTTCTGGCTCCAGGTCCAGGGTGAGAAACGGTTCCTGGCTGTTGGGAAAACTGGTTTCTCCACTTGCTTGCTGTGAGCTATCTACAACCTCATCATCATCATCTTCCTCGTCCCCAAAACCTGCTTCCGAGTTGCCTCCCTTTCCATTGACGGAGTCAAAGCACACGGTTGGGGTCCCTGTTATGGCCTCTGTCCTTCATGCCCTGGGAGATTTTGACAAATGTTTTGACATTTCGAAAACTGGAACAGAGTTCTGATAGCACGGATTTCTCTCCCCATACAGTGATCAGATCCCGTACCTCACGTTCGGTCTATGCTGGAGCTCTATTGCAATTCTGGGACTCCATCATGGTCACCTCTGCTGATGAGCTCTGCATGGTCACCTGCAGCTTGCTACGCTGGCCAAACAGGAAATGAAATTCAAAAGTTCGCGGGCCTTTTCCTGTCTACCTGGCCAGTGCATCTGAGTTGAGAGTGCTGTCCAGAGCGGTCACAATGGAGCACTCTGGGATAGCTCCCGGAGGCCAATACCGTCGAATTGCGTCCACAGTACCCCAAATTCAACCCTGCAAGGCCGATTTCAGCGCTAATCCCCTTGTCGGGGGTGGAGTAAGGAAATCTATTTTAAGAGCCCTTTAAGTCGAAAAAAAGGGCTTTGTCATGTGAATGGGTGCAGGGTTAAATTGATTTAACGCTGCTAAATTTGACCTCAACTCCTAGTTTAGACCAGGGCTGAGACTGCTAACAGGGGTGCTAATTATGGTAGTGGTTTTTGTGAAATGCTTCTCTCTCCACTGGGAAAAGGGCTTATTTCACAAAAGTCACTAATTAGACATCAGATGGTGATAATTTACAGCTTGTCCCAGATTTGAACCAGCAGTCTAGAAGGTATTGAATGTTTGGTTTTTTTTTCCCCCAAATAGTTCTGCTATTTGGTTTCTTTTGCTGTACTCCTTCATCCTGAAGTTTGCACCTGAGCATAAGAATGCATCAATAATTCTATTACAACTTTTTGGTCTGAATGTTTAGTCAGTACTCCGGGCCTCACAGGTTGTGTTTGTTAGGAGAGGAAATTGATGATGGAACAGATATTTTATTGTACGTAATCATGTTTATTTGCAAAGAGTGTACACCAAGTCCTATTTCCCTGAATAACGTAGGAATTAAATAACAAGAGGTGACAGCTTTACTCATAATTCCAAGTGTTTTTCTTGCCAGCACTTCACCCAAAAAGCCCTTCCTTGGCTTTTTCTCAATGCCACACTCCCAATACTTCTCTTGTTATCTCCTTCATGTTCTGCTTCTCTGTACCTGATTTCTGGCTGCTACTCCCGCCCCTGCGCACACATACACTCACTCATCCCCCTGCAATCAAATCAGTCACAACCCCTGCATTTACATTCCATCAAGACTTATGTGGTGGCTTCCATTGTTTCAGCTATCACTAAAAAGGAGGCATTTAATTATTGCCTCATTGGGTCTGAATGGCATCCAGCATGCTTAACATCTTCTGTGGAGGTCATTTAGTAGCCTATCGCACAAAGACAAGCTTATTAGGAGCTACTCAACGTCCAGCATAACAATACTCTGTGCAAAACACAATGTAAATATAATTTAGCATAGGTTTTGTTTTAATATTTAGGATGCAAACGTCTGAGAAAGTTAACCAATAAACACAGATTGGCATAGTAGGTGGGGTGCCTTTTGGCATCCCTGAAAAATGTGACATTCGATAGCAAGAAATTGTCACTAAAGAAAGTAACACATGTGGTAGCAAATAGCTGGCCTACTTGTTACCACTCATATGACTTTGTAATGTGTAACATAAAAAACTGATACTCCTAATGGACAGTAACAAATACAGTTAATTGACATTATAGATTTTAAAAATGACAGTGCCAAATAATCTATTTTTCTTAAAATCAGTTTATTTTAAGGTTTTTATGCCTTGATCTAAATTTAAGCAACTTGATTCAGAAAAATAAAATCTGGCATCTACAGTAGGCATTGGTGCCAAAAAAAAAATTTGTTTGTTTTTATAGTGTGAAAACTCTGGCTATTTTTTTTCCAGAATATGTAGTGTAGTAAGGAAATCTCAGAGTTTGGCCATTTTTGGTTAGCTTTTGAAAGTGGACACAAATATACTCTGTAATGCAGTTTATGATGGAGGCACTGCTTTCATTACTCATCTTAGAGACAATCCATATTATTTGAGGGTGTATGTGGGAGGTGAGAAGGAAATGCAAGACCAACAGGACAGATTGACTCATTCTGTAAAATATTCCCTAGACCAGTGGCATGGAAAAACATTCTGAACATGCATGTCCAAGTCTAGTTTTGTCAAATAAATGAGTTTGTGAGCCAAACTTTGTTCTCTGTGACTTTATTATAGATGAAGTGGGACAGCTCCACAGTGAATATAAATCACCATATGATGATTTACACCAGCAGAGGATCTGGCTCTGAAATGAGAAGGTTCAAACTTCAATTCAGCTTCATTGTATGGTTACAATTTAAAGCAGCCCAGCCTCTCCTATAGACCTGATGAGCACCACAGCCAGGCTTCCTCCTCAGTTTTGGTTGCTTCGGAAGCCCTGGAGTTCAAAGAAAACAGCTGCTTTCTTCCTTCAGTTCTATCCTAGAATCATAGGACTAGAAGGGACCTCAAGAGGTCATCTAGTCCCATCCCCTGCACTCATGGCAAGGGTAAGTATTATCCAGACTATCTCTGACAGGTGTTTGTCTAACCTGCTCTTAAAAACTTCCAAAGATGGAGATTCTACAACTTCCCTAGGCAATTTATTCCAGTGCTTAACAAGCCTGACCGTTAGGAAGTTTTTCCTAATGTCCAACTAAAAACGCCCTTACTTCAATTTAATTAGATCAATTTAACTAGATGAACTATTACCTTTATGAAGAGCCCCCTGCATATGTACACATTTAATTGTATATATGCAGGGGGCTCTTCATAAAGGTAAAGACTTAGTACCAGTCTGTAGCACAGCCTTAATTGAGGATGATGAATACATAGGATTTTAGGCTTACAGAGGTAGTTAGGCACCTAGTGGGATTTTTAAAGTGCCTAGGTGCCTAGCTCCTGTTGAAATCAAAGGAGTTAGACACCTAACCTGCTTAGACACATTTGAAAATCCCCACTAGATGCCTATGTATATCTTTAGGCACCTTTTAAAATCTGTCCCTAAGTCACACTATGGGACTTGGGTGCCTAACCTGCTTAGGTGCTTTTATAAATTCCACTAGGGACCTATCTGCATCTTTAGGTGCCTTGATACCTTTGTAAATCTGGCCCTTAGTGATGTACAGTCATGATCTAAACCTCATTCTATTTGGGAAGTAGGATCCACATACTACAGGTAGGAACCCTGAGGGCTGAAGATAGATTAGGGATTCTAGGAGTTCCTGATTCCCAATCCTGTCTCCAAACCATTCCTCTTCCCTCTCTTGACTATTCTTAACTCAGGGAGCTGACTAGATTTTCTTTCTGTGCCAGTGCCCTCTTGTTCTCTCTCCCCCCTTCTCCCCCCCCCCAGCATACCTATACTCTGAGACATCTTCCTCCTATATCCCTTTGTCTCCTGATCTGTTCTGGTAGATCAAATTTAGCAATGCTTTTCTGTGCTCTTGTCAGAACTGTTTTCAGTGCCCTTAGTTGGGGATATTTATTTCACTCTGTGTCCTCTCTTCCTTTTTTTTTAATATACTTTAAAAATCTGGATTTATTATTCCTTGGACTACACACCTGCAGTGGTTTCCATAGCAGCAGAATTCTGCAGCCCCCAGCTGTTTTGTTACTGACTTTTATTAGCAGTTTGCTAGCTGCTGGTAAAAATGCTGCTCGTTTTGAGAAGCAACCTGGCAACTGAAATTTTAATTACTTTGCAACTACTTACCATGTGGCAAGTCTGGTCCCATCGACAAACATGAAAACAAAAGTTAACTAGGATTGTTTAATCATCTTGTTGCCTTAGGGATGCATTCCCACTGCCTTCCCCTTTACATTCTCAAGCTGGTAGCACCCAGCCAAAGCTAGAGATTTCTTGTGATCAAAGCAAATCTGGGGGTTTGTGTTTTTGTTTTTCTCTTGGTGTATAACTATGCTCATTTCAATGAGATTTCAATAGAGCCAGGCAGATTGTGGAGTCATTCTATGTTAAGCTTCCTCAAATAGCTCAACCCAAATACCTCCATGTTTGATATGGGTTTGTGAGCAGAGATTGTACTGATATGGGTTTGTGAGCAGAGATTGTACTGAAATAATGCAGTAGTCTGCCTGCTCCAGCTATGGTGTTTTTATGCCCCTCTCATCACCATGGAGTCTGAGTGCTTGATGAGAAAAAATGACTGTGGGAGACTCCAGGAGACTATCAGTCCTATTTCACTTCTGTCCTAAATAGGAGTCCCATCTAGTTTTCAGAAGCAAAAGTCTAGTGGATTAACTCCCACAATGCCATGGCCAATTTGGAGCACTATTTTTGAAATACTGTATTTTCACACTTAGCAGTAAATGCTTCCCATGTTAATAATCCCCCAGGAATAAAATGCTAAACAAAGGTGAGCACTGTTAAGTGTATAAAGCAACTGTTACATATTGAATGTGTATACAAGGATGTACGTACGTCTTGTGTGCAGAGGTACTGGGCACAATTTCAGGTTAAAAATACCAGTCACAGGAAGGATATTATTGACAGACTAGCAATGGGTACAAAATATGGTGCTAGGTCTTGAATAATAAATAACCTATAAGGAAAGGCTAAATAAGTGGAACTCATTCTCACTGGAAAAGAGGAAACTTTCAGATGGCCTAATAGAAGTTTTTAAAATCCTGAAAGGGACTTGAGGTAAAGTTGATAAGGAAGGATAAACTATGGACAACGGCAAAAGGCTTTTTCGTTCTGTCTGGAATAAATCTCCTAAATTGGGTTTCTTACCTGAACTTTTAGAGTGTCTCTCTGTGTGTGTGTGTGTGTGTGTGTGTGTGTGTGTAATGAATAATTTATAGTTAATATTTTACGTTATTTTGATGTCCTGTGTTGGAAATGTGAATGAGATTCTGCAGGTAAACTCTTCTCTATTTCTAATGTACAACAGGGCTTGGCAAACTCTGGCTTTCCCTCATTTTCTCCTCCCTGGCAGCTGGAGTAATGGGATAATTTGACTTAATGCTTTATTTTCCAGCACTGATTTCCTTGGTAGCAATCCAAATGGGTTTGAAGATATATTAGGCAGAATAAAAAAAACAATGTGCTCCTCAATGTCAATGTATGGTTCAGTATTCAGGAAACTTTGTGCAAATTTCCACTGAAATTAACAGCAAGCCTCTCATTGACTTGAGTGGGGGGTCTGGCCCTTTCTGAACATGTGTTGTCATGTAGTAGTTAGTTTGATAAAAGTTTTCAGTGGAAATATTTTTTCAAAGGAAAAATGGCTTTTTTGATCAAATGAAAAAACAAACAAAACTGAAAACACATTTTTTTTTGTTTTCAGCAAATGAGAATAAAAAAAATTCAAATTTAAACTGAAATTTTCATTTTTTATGAGAACTCACAAACATTTTAAGAACATTTTGTTGATATGAAAATGTCATTTCCTGCCAGCTTTGTTTCAAGTAAATGTTTGTGAGAAGGCTTGACCTGCTTGACTCTCTTGATCCAAGGTTGAGTTTTCTGGGCTGGCAGCTAGAGTATATGGCACCATCAAGAAATGGTAGCTATGGAGCTCCACAATTGCACTTTTACAATGTCACATTTCAGCCTAGATTAACACTTTCATAATGGATTAAATGGTTAAACCTTAAATTGGCTGATGGATCTGTTTTTGGGTTATTTTAAATACAGTAAAAAGAAAAGGAGTACTAGTGGCACCTTAGAGGTGATGTCCTAAAATTGTGGTAAATCCTTTCTTTTCCAAATCTCTCTCTCTCTCTCTCTCCTATAATTAGGGCTGCAGATTTGTTATGGCAGTTTTTATCAATAATCACACAGAAGTGATTTAGTAGAATTTAGTAAAAGTCACAGGTTTTGTGATTTTTTTTTAAATCTAAACAAGGAAAAATGTGGAGACTAATGAAAAGGAGTAGAGGCTGGAGATCAACCCTGCACCACACTCACCCTGCAGCAGTTGCTCCTGCAGTTCCTGTCCTGCAGGGCTGGGCCCAGCTTTCTGCTCTAGGTGTTGTGACCCGGCACATGGGGTCACAGCGCCATCCAGGTTTGGCCTGGCTGCTCCTGCCTCATGACAGGGGGCCAGCCGGGTCAAATTTGAGTGAGTGGCATTGCAACCTGGCTCATTCAAAAATCATAGAACATCAGGGTTGGAAGGGACCTCAGGAGGTCATCTACTGCAACCCCCTGCTCAAAGCAGGACCAACACCAACTAAATCATTTTTCCAAGCCTGAGTCATGCTATCATCCTGTGCACCAGGCCGCAATGCCACTCATGCAAATTTATTCTAGCCGCCCACTGTCATGAAGGAGGGGCAGCTGGGTCAACCCTAAGTGGAACTGAGACCCCATGCACAAGGTTGCAATGCACGGAGTGGGAAACTGGGTCCAGCACCATATAATTAAACAATAGAAATTGAGAGTTTACACAGATGATTTTGGACAAAGTCTGATCTTTCATAGAATGATTAAAGGGCTGTAAAGTCTGGGTGGATAGATATAGCTGACCTCTTTTCAAATCAGTATTTATTCACTGAACTCTCTCTTCTTTTTTTAAGCTACAGTATGTGGCATGTTTCCCCTGTGAAGATCTGGCTAATCAGTGTCAATTTGACTCAGCTCCTGCGTTCACTGCTTTTAATATGATAGTTGGCGAAAAATTAGAGAAGCATCAGCATCTAATCGACTGAGTATGGGACGGGGACTCCTGAGTTCTAATCCTAGCACTCTACTCAGTTGCTGTGTGGCCTTGAGGCGAATCATTTAATCTCTCTGTGCGTCCGTTTCCCTATGTGTAAGGTAGGATAGCCGGGGTGCATTGAAGTTAAATTATGTTATGTATGTAGAACACTTTGAAGCCAGATTGTGAACCCCTTACTCTCAGTGGTGAGCCGTTACTTGCACAAGCAGTTGCACGTAAGTATCTCAGCACAACATGGTGAGTAAGCAGTTGACAGTCTAGCCCTCAATTAGCAATAAATATAATTTGTTCTCATCCTTTGTCTTTCTTTTGGATCTCTTGTTTAGATTGCAAGAGTGAAGGAGGCACCTTCTCTTAAATATCCAGTTCTCCATCCTGCACGGGCGAAGTAGGTTAGTAGATTTCTCCTCTTTTGCAGGTGAATTTCACATTGTAATTTAAAAAAAAAACATTTGAAAGAATCAGAGGAAAATAAGGATAGTGGTTTTGTTAGATTAGCAGTCACCACATGCTCATAAATATCACTGCTTCCTCCACCCTGCAACCTCAACCTGCTGCCACGGGAACAATGAGTTATGCCTTCCAAGAAC